TCTCTGGTTTCCCTCTAGTCTCTCTCTGGTCTCCCCCTGGTCTCTCTCTGGTCTCTTGTCTATTTCTGGTCTCTTTCTGGTCTGTCTCTGGTCTCTCGCTGGTCTCTCGCTGGTCTCTCTCTGGTCTCTCCCTGGTCTCCCCCTTGTCTCTCTCATGGTCTCTCTCCCTGGTCTCTCTGGTCTCTCTGGTCTCTGTCCCTGGTCTCTCCCTGTTCTCCCCCTGGTCTCTCTCTGGTCTCTTGTCTATTTCTGGTCTGTCTCTGGTCTCTTTCTGGTCTCTCGCTGGTGTCTCTCTGGTCTCTCTCTGGTCTCCCCCTGGTCTCCCCCTGGTCTCTCCCTGGTCTCCCCCTTGTCTCTCTCTGGTCTCTCTCTGGTCTCCCCCTGGTCTCTCTCTGGTCTCTCTCTGGTCTCTCTCTGGTCTCTCCCTGGTCTCCGCCTGGTCTCTCTCTGGTCTCTCTCTCTGGTCTCTCTCTGGTCTCTCTCTGGTCTCTCTCTGGTCTCTCTCTGGTCTCCCCCTGGTCTCTCTCTGGTCTCTCTCTGGTCTCTCTCTGGTCTCTCCCTGGTCTCCGCCTGGTCTCTCTCTGGTCTCTCTCTCTGGTCTCTCTCTGGTCTCTCCCCCTGGTCTCCCCCTGGTGTCTCTCTGGTCTCTAACAGTTGGTTGTATTGTTGGCCTCTGTCACATCTGTAGATCAGCCTCAGTGAGAAAGAGAGGACCACCCTCACTCAGCCAATCAGCTCTCAGTAAAAGACTAAAGGTTTTCTAATAAAGAGACAGTGTTCACTTAATGTTTCTAAAAGATTTTTCAGGAGATGTTTGTACAAAACAAAAGTGATGTGTTTGACAATAACTGACGGACCTCACTGTCAATCACACGCCCTCCTCTGCCGCACATGCTCAGTGGAACTCCAAGTCTGTTTCTGTAGCCGTTAGCCGCTAACAATATTCTTTTTGATTTAGGCAAAAGAGAAATGTAGGTAGTTTGCTGAGGGACTTCTTTTATTGAATTCATGAAACAAAAACGTTGGGTTCTCTACATGATCCTAGTGTTTTATTTATATATATGTTGTCTTTATATATGTTGTCTCCTGTGGACTCACCACCTGCAGAGGGTCAGTGAGGGGCTGGTGCTATGAGACTTGGGTGGCATCTCTGACTGCCACCCCCCTGACCCAGAAATGGATTAAAGGGTAGAAAATGGATGGATGGATGGATGTTGTCTTTGTTAATCCAGAACGAGCTATTACTTGGGTCAAAAGTCAGTAAAAAACGTCTTTCCACTGAGGATTGTGGCTAAAAGTTTTACCTCAAACTGTTTTCCTCAAACTGTGACTGGACAGAGCTTCTTCCTTTTTGAAACCAGTGTTATGGAAGTGACAGTATGTGCTACTTGTTACTGTTATGTCAAAGTAATGTCTTCTACCAGAAAAGAAAAACATTTCTAGACGGCTACTTTTGGCTCGGATCTTCCCTCCTCTGCTGATCTCGCGGCGGCAGAGTATAAAAACAAAACACAATTTAATTTCGGGTAAAAATGCAAATTATATCATTGTACAAAGTAAAATATGACCCAATTGTTTTTTGAATACTTTCCATCACTGCGTTACAGCAAAAAGTTATACATCGCAGTAATTACTATAGTTTTACTCCCAACACTGTTTGAAAGTAAAGTCGTGTGTCTACAGTGTGTGACGTCACAGTTCACCTCAGGACCCAAATCGAGTCCAGAATCTTTTCCTCTGGATCTGAACTTGTTGTGAGCAGAGTCTGTGGCCTCGGGCGAACACAGCAGCGTTGCTCCAAAAACATTAGCAACGATTGTGCAGCTGAAAAATTAATGATCTTTAAAAGCGACTTTGATTGTTCAACATTTTCTTTGGTCTTTAAAAATAGATGGTGATGTGGAGGTGGCCCAGGATGTGCCTGAAGTAAAATCAGCATCAAAGGAGACACGTACGGAGTAGAATATAGAGTAGGGCAGAGTAGGGTAAACTAAAGATAAAGTAGGGTAGAGGAGATTGTCTTTTTGATTCTCTGATCTGTTTTGGCCAATTGGCAGATTTGTAAAGTCCTCTGAGTAAAGTAGAGTAGAGAAGGGTAGAGTAAAATAGAGTACAGTAGGGTAGGGTAGGGTAAAGTAGGATGGGGAAGAGTAGAACAGAGTAGGCTAGAGAGCAGGGCAGAGTAGAGTAGAGTGAGGTAGAGTGGGGTAGGAAAAACATAGAGTGGAGTATGGTAGAGTAGAGTAGAGAAGGGTAGAGTAGGGTAGGGCAGAGTAGAGTAGAGTAGGGTAGGCAAGAGAAGAGTAGAGTAGGATAGGGTAGAGTAGAGTAGAGTATAGAAGGGTAGAGTAGGGTAGGGTAGAGTAGGATAGAGTAGAGTAGAGTAGGGTAAGGTAGGGTAGAATATAGAGGGGTAGAATAGAGTAGAGTAGAGTAGGGTAGGGTAGGGTAGAGTAGAGTAGGGTAGGGTGTGGGTAGGGTAGGGTAGAGTAGAGTAGAGTCGAGTAGGCTAGAGTAGGGTAGAGTAGAGTAGGGTAGGGTAGGGTAGGGTAGAGTAGAGTAGAGTAGAGTAGGGTAGGGTAGGGTAGAGTAGGGTAGGGTAGAGTAGAGTAGAGTAGAGTAGAATAGGGTAGGGTAGAGTAGAGTAGAGTAGAGTAGAGTAGAGTAGAGTAGGGTAGAGTAGAGTAGAGTAGGGTAGAGTAGGGTAGAGTAGAGTAGAGTAGGGCTAGTGGAAATGGGGCTTCTGTCTCCATATTTGAAGAGGCAAATGATTCCATTATTATATATTATATATTATATTTTATGTATTTAATGTTGTTTATTGTACAACGAGAATATGTAACAGGAACTGCTGAGTCTGCACAAGTGTCACTGATAATTCACCAGTAACTTTGTCACTAGTCACTTTACCTGTTATCAGTACTACTACAGTACTACATATCTGATACTTCTCCCATTCAAGTCACTTTACCTGTTGATATTATTTCTGATGTTTATTCTGCTCATATTCTCATATTCTCCGCTGCTAATGTATAATATAGACATCTGTAAATACTCCGAACTCCGAAGTGCAATTATAGCCCAGAGTTTTATCTCATTTTATTTTATTTTTATCTCATAATTTTATTGTCTATTACCTTAAATAATAGACTTTGATGTGTGCGTCTGAGTGCTCTTATTTCCTTTCTCTGCTGTAATGTGCAACGATGACACTGACATTTCTCCACTGTGAGACTAATAAAGGTTTATCTTATCTTATCTTATATTAGTAAACATGACGCTCACATAATTAAACATTTGTCTGCGACCTCCTGAAAATGGCGTTTACATTCCCCTGGATCCCGACATAGAGCCCCTGCTCCTGCTCCTGCAGATGAATCACACCTGTTTTCAGCCGAAGCGGTTTCTGCGGCGGCCGCGGCTCAGAGCGAAAACTGCTCGGCTGAAAATGAGTTTTTGGTTGCAGCGATAAATCAGCGCGTCTGGCACTCGCCTGGATTTATGTCCCACTCCAGCCACCGTACGCAGCCATCACTCTCCCCCAGACGTCTCCCTAGTTCACCCCAGGACCAGACCACAGAGACCAGACCAAAGGGACCAGACCAAAGGGACCAGAGCAAAGGGACCAGAGCAAAGAGACCAGACCAAAGGGACCAGACCAAAGGGACCAGACCAAAGGGACCAGACCAAAGAGACCAGACCAAAGGGACCAGACCAAAGGGACCAGACCAAAGAGACCAGACCAAAGGGACCAGACCAAAGAGACCAGACCAAAGGGACCAGACCAAAGGGACCAGACCAAAGAGACTAGACCAAAGGGACCAGACCAAAGAGACCAGACCAAAGAGACTAGACCAAAGGGACCAGACCAAAGAGACCAGACCAAAGAGACTAGACCAAAGAGACCAGACCAAAGAGACCAGACCAAAGGGACCAGACCAAAGGGACTAGACCAAAGGGACCAGACCAAAGGGACTAGACCAAAGGGACGAGACCAAAGAGACCAGACCAAAGGGACTAGACCAAAGGGACCAGACCAAAGGGACCAGACCAAAGGGACTAGACCAAAGGGACCAGACCAAAGGGACCAGACCAAAGGGACTAGACCAAAGAGACCAGACCAAAGGGACTAGACCAAAGGGACCAGACCAAAGGGACCAGACCAAAGGGACCAGACCAAAGAGACCAGACCAAAGGGACTAGACCAAAGGGACCAGACCAAAGGGACCAGACCAAAGGGACTAGACCAAAGAGACCAGACCAAAGGGACCAGACCAAAGGGACCAGACCAAAGGGACCAGACCAAAGGGACCAGACCAAAGGGACCAGACCAAAGGGACCAGACCAAAGGGACCAGACCAAAGGGACCAGACCAAAGAGACCAGACCAAAGGGACTAGACCAAAGAGACCAGACCAAAGAGACTAGACCAAAGAGACCAGACCAAAGGGACCAGACCAAAGGGACCAGACCAAAGAGACTAGACCAAAGGGACCAGACCAAAGGGACCAGACCAAAGGGACCAGACCAAAGGGACCAGACCAAAGGGACCAGACCAAAGGGACCAGACCAAAGGGACCAGAGCAAAGAGACTAGACCACAGAGACTAGAGCAGAGGGTCAAGACCAAATGGACCAGACCAACAATTAAATTAAATTTGATGTATTTTTCTATTGCCCTAAATTACAACATTAGTATCTCAGAGGACTTTACAAAGTTGTCGATTCGCCAACACAGATCCAGGACTCGGGCTGTAGATTGAGGACCAGACCTACAGGACCAGTCCTACATGGCCAGGCCCAGCCCTGGTAACCCAAGATGTCTTCCCATTCAAATGAAAGATTGCTCATTGACACCTGCTTGCACCATGGAGGCCCAAATATTAGCGGAAGTGACACATTTATGGTCATCTCTCAGCTCCCGGTCTTATGGCCAATCATGACGGATTCAGCACAGAGTGTTGTGTGAGGGAGTGTGGTCTGACCTCTGGTGTCTCCTCAGGTCTGGATGTGTGGCGGTCGCATGGAGGACGTTCCCTGCTCCAGAGTCGGACACATCTACAGGAAGTACGTTCCATATAAGGTCCCAGGAGGAATCAGCCTGGCCAAGGTACAGGACACTCAGAAACACACGGTTTTGGAAAGAAAATCATTTAGAATTGTGTTTAGTTCTTTCTGGTCTCTCTCTAGTCTCTCTCTGGTCTGTCTCTCTGGTTTCTCTCTCATTAGTAGAGTTTTGTGAACAAGTAAGACCATGGCATGTGCCTTTAGCATCTCATTAGAAAACAAGAAACCCCATCTGTTAATGAATGAGAAATGCTGTGTACACAAAATCAACATCTCACAGCTGTTTGATTACAGAAAAAACATTCACTGCAAACATGTGAAATATGTAGAAACACTTGCATGATTGTCAGACCAGAAAGAGAGACCATAGAGAGACCATAGAGTGAGAGTATAGAGACAGAGCAGAGAGTGAGAGCACAGAGAGAGCAGAGAAAGACCAGAGTGAGAGAGATAAAGCAGAGAGGGATGTAAGAAATGTGTGGTCATATACAGTATCTATCCACGACACCACAGGTATATTAGTCCTACCTTACATTAGTCCTACCTTACATTAGTCCTACCTTACATTAGTCCTTCATTACATTAGTCCTGCTCTAACCTGATACAATGTGTTTCTCCTTCTGCCTGATTTGTATCATGCACTGTCCATGTAAAATAAAAAGAATTCCGTATCCTGTTCTCCACGGCTCTGCCATACCACAGAATACTGCATAGAATAATAATGTCCTCACAGAGATCCGACCTTGAGGAGAATGAGATTCCTTTATATAAAGAACTACTTGTGTCTTTGTTAAGACTTTTCTTTACAGCCTTGAATACAGTAAATTACCATTTATGAGAAATCACACGCATGGATTTTCTATAAGAAACTGGATTCATCCAAAGCGAGGGGACATTCATGTCTCTGTTAAGGACACAGATGAACTATTATCTCAGTGCCAGGCTGTTATAATAGTCTCTTCACCGCTCGCTGTCTCACCTGATCAAGCCTCTGTCTCACCTGAGGAAGCCTCTGTCTCACCTGAGGAAGCCTCTGTCTCACCTGAGGAAGCCTCTGTCTCACCTGATCAAGCCTCTGTCTCACCTGATCAAGCCTCTTTCTCACCTGAGGAAGCCTCTGTCTCACCTGGAGAAGCCTCTGTCTCACCTGAGGAAGCCTCTGTCTCACCTGAGGAAGCCTCTGTCTCACCTGATCAAGCCTCTGACTCATCTGAGGAAGCCTCTGTCTCACCTGGAGAAACCCGGCTCCGCTGTGAGGATCCTCTTCTTCGACTTCTCCAGTGCCTTCAACACCATCCAGCCACGGCTTCCCAGGGACAAGCTGGAGACAGTTGGAGTGGACTACAACCTGTCTGAGTGGATCCTGGACTACCTCACAGACAGACCCCAGTTTGTGAGAACCAGGGACTTTGTGTCTGAGGTCCTGACCTGCAGTGTAGGCTCCCCCAGGGGACAGTCTTCGCGCCGTTCCTCTTCACCCTCTACACGGTTGTGTTCTACAGAAGTTCTCTGACAACTCTGCCATCATCGGACTCAGCTCCGAGGACGATGACACAGAGTACAGAGGAGTTATACAGGACTTTGTGGACTGGTGTCAGCGGAACCACCTCCTCCACTTTTTGCTCATTTATCCTGTGCTGTGTGCTGCTCATTCCTACTGTTCTGCAAAACTGAAATTTCCCCATTGTGAGACGAACAAAGGATCTCTGAATTATTTAATCTTAATGTGTCTATATATACTGTGTGTGTGTGTGTTTGACTGTGGTTGCTTGCGTGGCTGCAGAACCTGAAGCGTGTGGCCGAGGTCTGGATGGATGAATACGCAGAGTACATTTACCAGCGGCGGCCGGAGTACAGACACCTCTCAGCCGGAGACATGACGGGGCAGAAGGAGCTCCGAGCCAAACTCAACTGTAAAAACTTCAGATGGTTCATGAAGGAGGTGGCCTGGGACCTGCCCAAGCACTACCCCCCAGTGGAGCCCCCTGCAGCCGCCTGGGGAGAGGTACAGCTCCACTCTCTATGATCCTAAGGTTTTATTTCCACTGGGTCTTTGTAGATCCAGGTCTGAGCTCTGACAACTGACCAGGAGCCTTCTGTTCCTACACTTGGCCTTAGCTGTTTCTGATTGGCTCTTTGGTTGCTAGGTTGTTGCTACCTTGGTCGTTTGCTTCAGATTCCTGCAAGTGGTTGTTTGAGTTTGCTCTGATCCTCACAGAGCTCTGGTCTCTCTTTCCGGCCTCTCTCTCTGGTCTCTCTTTCTGGTCACTCTCTCTGGTCTCTCTCTCTCAGATCCCTCTCTGGTCTCTCTTGCTCTGGGTTGTCTCTCTGGTTTCTCTCTGGTCTCTCTCTTTGGTCACTCTCTTTGGTCACTCTCTTTGGTCTCTTCCTCTGGCCTCTCTTTCTGGTCTTTCTCTGGCCTCTCTCTCTGGTCTGTCTCTCCGGCCTCTCTTTCTGGTCTCTCTTGCTCTGGGTTGCCTCTCTGGTTTCTCTCTGGTCTCTCTCTTTGGTCTCTCTCTGTGGTCTCTTTCTCTGGCCTCTCTCTCTGGTCTGTCTCTCCGGCCTCTCTTTCTGGTCTCTCTCTCTCTGGTCCATGCTTTAATCACATAACCTGTACTTTTGTCACTCTACTCTTTGACACATATAAAGTATTTACTAAACTTCTGAAAAGTTCAACAGTTACATCAGAGATACTTTTTCCTGCGTCCTGATTGGCCGCTGTGTGGGAGGAAACGCATCAGAAATATGTATTTGGGAAACCTATGCAGCAAATCTAATTTCTTATCCAACGTTTTAATCTTCTCAAAAGAAACTCCGCCGAGAATTAATATCAAAGCTGCAGAAAAACAAGCGAGCTCTCCCAGCATGGATCATTTCATCACTTTTCCTTTTTTGTAGTTTTAACTTCAAAGAACAGCGTCCGTTTGGAGGCAGGCTCAGATCTCCGGTCAAACAATAACTGTTCAAAATATCACTTATTTGTTCTGCTTAGCTGTAGTTTATGAGTGCAGGAGCTTATACCGAGACTGTAGACCTGTGTGTGACATGGCAAAGGCACGTTATTGGTTTGGTTCATATGGGCGTGTTCACACTACAGAGTGACTGTGTCACTTTGACAAAGTGTGACAAAGTGTTTAGACAAGTTTCCTACAGTGGCTCTGTTTATTTTCTGTAACGGACCTGATGCTTTGTCGGAATGAGCCGAAGTTTGTTACATATTTTCAGACTTTTTTTTCACACTGAGTAGAAACAAAATGATTACTTTCATAAAGTAAACCAATTAAATGTGAAACCAGACCATCTTTATTTTTTTCTCAAGTTTAATTTGTTGAAAAAAATGGACAGAAACCATCACGTTTGTTACACATTCTTCAATGGTCCTTAAAATGTGTAAAGTAAGTGATTTCCTGATGTTGTGTTAATGTGAATCTGTGGAGTTCATCTTTGATTTTCTCTGTCACTGAGTCACAGTAGAATGATCCAATCAGAGGCTGATCTGGGTTTTTAAGATTTTGCCAAAAAAGTATTTGTCATCCTTTTATTTTGATTTCGTCCACTCTCGCTTTGATATGTTTGATTTTTTTTTTCCAATCTATGATAGTAAATTTAGATTTACACCTTTTAAAGTCCAGATACTTAAGTGGACACTTTACTGTGAACACAGCCATCTACAAGGCAGTGCTGGATACGACAATTATCAGACACAACATAAATAATCACAGTACATTTATAAAAGTGAAGATCCTTCAGTTGTCACAGCAAAACAGTTTTTAACGTTGGAATTTTTCAGAGTAGAATCTTGTCTCAAATTTTCAATAAGACTGTTCCAGATGTAGATCTGTAGATCCAGGACTGAGGCTGTAGATCCAGGACTGAGGCTGTAGACCCAGGACTGAGGTTGTAGATCCAGGACTGAGGCTTTAGATCCAGGACTAAGGCTTTAGATCCAGGACTGATCCTGTAGATCCAGGACTGATCCTGTAGATTCAGGACTGAGGCTGTAGATCCAGGACTGAGGGTGTAGATCTAGGACTGAGACTTAGTCACTGTGCTGCCCAAGATTATTTTTGTTATTTTTAGCAGTGTATTTTACTAAGGTGCAAAGTGATCATGAAATTATGATTGACTTTTGAAGTGTCTGTTGGTTTTTCCACGCCGCTGTTTGACTGTTGTTGTTGTTGTTGCAGATCCGCAACGTGGACAGTGGGTTGTGTATGCAGATCAAGCACTTTGTCTCCGGGAGTCCCATCCGCCTCGATGCCTGTGTGAAGAGCAGAGCAGAGGGGAGCTGGAGCCATGGGCAGGTGAGAGAAGGGCAACAAGGAGAGGGGAGGGGCTAAGGACAGGTGAGGGAGGGGCAAAGAGGAGAGGGGAGGGGCTAAGGACAGGTGAGGGAGGGGCAACGGCAGAGAGGGGAGGGGCTAAGGACAGGTGATTGTGGGGCTACGTGGAGAGTGGAGGGGTCTCTCTAGTCTCGCTTTGGTCTTTCTCAGGTCTCTCTCTAGTCTCTATGGTCTCTCTGGTCTCTCTAGTCTCTCTAGTCTCTCTAGTCTCTCTAGTCTCTCTAGTCTCTAGTATCTCTGGTCTCTCTAGTCTCTCTAGTCTCTCTAGTCTCTAGTATCTCTAGTCTCTCTAGTCTCTAGTATCTCTGGTCTCTTTAGTCTCTCTCTGGTCTCTCTGGTCTCTAGTATCTCTGGTCTCTCTAGTCTCTCTAGTCTCTCTGGTCTCTCTGGTCTCTCTAGTCTCTCTGGTCTCTCTAGTCTCTAGTATCTCTGGTCTCTTTAGTCTCTCTCTGGTCTTTCTGGTCTCTCTTAGGTCTCTCTCTGGTCTCTCTTGTCTCTCTTTAGTCTCTCTCTGGTGTCTCTGGTCTCTCTGGTCTTTCACAACGTGTTTTCTCCAACCACAACACATACAACATCATATCACTTTTAGTATAGTAACATTTACCTTTATTTAAAGTCAGAAGAACACTATCGTGCCTTGTGACGGGCAGAGATTAGTTCTGAGGATCCAGTCGACGCGGTGAAAACAAACCTGTTTGCAGAGCAGAAGGTTGTGACTGAGTTCCATGGTGTCGGTGCAGGTGCTGACTCTGGGCTGGAGGGAGGACATCCGTGTAGGAGACCCTCTTCACACCAGAAAAGTCTGTTTCGACGCCGTGTCCCACAACAGCCCAGTGACGCTGTACGACTGCCACGGCATGAAGGGCAACCAGCTCTGGAGATACAGAAAGGTACCATCACTTTTATACAGCGCTTTTTTGGACACTCAAGGATGCTTGGACTGAAACATTTTTCCAATCCTTGTATAGTTTTAATTATTTCAATATATTTAACAGTGATGAGAATTAACTGTCTGTTAGCTGCAACAGTGGACCTCGTCACTCTGGGACAGTGGAGGCGGGTCCCGGCTCAAAAGTGGCCAAAATGTTGTGCGCTGACATGCTGCAATACCACCCCGGGCCTGTGGGGGTGGACCCGGAATAAGAATTAGCCAACGCTAACATATAGCATCTTCTTACCTCTGGAAAACGTCTTTACAGGATGGACCAAAAGTTGGCTCTTGGCCCAAAGCTCCGTTCCACATGTGTGTCAATGCTGAGGGAGGTGTTTTGGACCAGTCTACTTTAGTCGCTGAGAATTTTTGAAGTCACTCGTTTAAATGAATGGGGCTCGTGCAGCTGACGCATGTGCAGATGCGTTTTTCCACATTTTCCAGCCCCCGCAGCCATTTTGAAACTGCCCACGGACCGCGGAAGTCGTGGCACATTAGTTAGAACGGCGGAGATAGGTGTGACTACGTCCGTTAATATTTAAAGTCAATGCTCTGTGTTTTTCTAGAAAAGGAGACACTTGTTCTTTTATGAGATATGTTCTGTGCGAGACTGATTCTGTGACTTTTCTGGAGTGAGGGACTTATGTATGTAAGTTCATTTTTTGGTCTCCACTGTCAAACCTCTTTCTCTTCACACCATCATTCCACCCAGACCTTGGCCCACCTCTCGGTCTACTACCATCACTCTCTCTCATCACTCTCTTTGTCAGTCTCTCTCTTCACATGTCCATACCATCTCAGTCCACATACCACCAGGCAGCTCACATTCCTCATTCTGTCCTTCTCAAGCATTTCGTTTCAAACACATTCAATTATCTTCCTTTCACTCTCTGTCATACGCCATGTTTCTGCACCACACAACAGTCGGCCCAACCGCCCTCTCATAAACACTCCTTCACCTTCACATTTACATTCTAACCTCTCACCGCTCTATTCACTGTACCCGCCACGCTCAGTTTTCATAAGTGCCGCCTCTTTCACAGCTTCCATCTGCTCTCACATCTGAATCAAAATACTTAACACATCCCTCTTGCACCTCAGTGTTAAACAAATGTAAGTATGTGGATTATTTCCGCAAAGCTGCTTTTTTTATTTCTATACTAAACATAAATGTAGCCTGGTCTTACCATGTGTAAACTCTGGTCCATGATCATTTCCTACATGTACGTCTGGGTCTTTCCTGCAATCAGCATTCGGTTTCAGCAATTATCTGTGAGTAAAGGTGAAAAACTTCTGAAAAAATAATTTACCTTTTTATAAAACTGGTGGAAAACTTGTTTTGATTTCTTTTTCAGAATGCCATCAATGTGAATACGACTGAATTATGACTTCTCTGAGAGTTCTTGTACAGTAGATTCACATTTTCCTTGTGTAATTTTCTTGGTTTCAAATATATATGCCTCAAAGTAAACTTCTAATATTTCCACTGAACCGTAAAAGTGAAAAACCTCTGGAAAGTTTCTCATCTTCTATAAAAGTTATTTGTAGACCAGCTCCTAAGTGATTGTTTAGTGTTGGCGTACGCTCCGTTAGCCTCACCTGCGCTAAGCCAATGGCCGTAAGAGCAGTCGGCGTGGAGCATCCGGAGCCTCATCCATCTTGGTTTCACTCGGCCTGATATTTGGGCAGCGGCAGCGTCCTGAATGTGCTGCGGTCAGCTAAGCTCCATTTAAGCCAATTAATGAATGAGTAGAGTTTGAGGAGGCCATCTGTTAAACGCATAATGAAGGAAACACTGCGGAAAAAGAGAGACTTAAACTGAGAGAGACGCAATCGCTGTTATTCAGATGCAGAAGGTGTTTTTATCACCACTCACTGCAATTTAGGCTCAATTGTGTATGCTCTAGTCTACCTGGTTGTGTTTCCGTTACACTTAAGTATATATACACACACAAAAAAACAGTATCCGGGAGAAATTTCTTGGTAACCATGGCTTCCACCAGCACTCTGGCCAATCATTGTCAGTAAGAACACTTTAGTACCAGGTCGGCCTGGATAGAACCTGGACCAAGAGGGACTAAAGAAGGACCTGGTACTGGTTAAACAGGGTTGATGTAAACACTCTCAATCTGGGTAGGGTAGGGTAGAGTAGGGTAGGGTATAGGGTAGGGTAGGGTAGTGTAGGGCTGGTGGAAGCAGGGCTTATGTCTTGGCTCCCAACTACAGGGGTTTGTCATGTGAGACCGAGACCATACGAAACGCTTCACTTGCAATTTCTGTGATACATGGCTGCATCCAAATTCAACAGACACTTCATACCTTCTCTGTCTTTTCTTTACATTTTAAACATTGGTTTTACTTAGCATTTTTCAGAACACTCTTCACATGTCATTATTCATTCATTCTATACTCCAGTGTCTCCCAAAGTGGGGTCCGCGGCCCCCTGGTGGGCCGCGAGGGTACTGCAGGGGGGCCGCGGGAGGTCATACAAAAAATTAAAAAAATAATATAATTATTTAATGTTAAATTTATAATGTTTTGTTTGTAATATTAAAATATTTGTGTTCATTATTTGACTTGAATAATCCACTGTAATCATTTTTGTATTACAATGTTTGTAGCAGAGGCTATTTCCCCAAAATAAAATAACCAGAAGAGCCTATTCTTAATGTTGTCTTCTTGGTTATTATTTTGGGGGGGCCACGCAGACCCGTCAGATTTTTAAGGGGGCCTCGGTGTTACTGAGTTTGGGAATGGCTGCTATACTCAGTAGTACTAAACCACTAGGTCGGGCATGCGTACAGAAGCGAGGCATCCAGTGTGTGCCATCGGCCCCTCCCACCACCACCAACCAGTACACACACCAGACTCATTCTAATGTGGCTTTGGACACAGTTTGGCATTTTACAGCCGTCCCACTGTGGCACCTGCTGTCCCCAAAGGTCTCCCATCACAGTACTTACCAGTCCCTGCCCTGCTCAAAATGGTATTTTATTCCAGATGACCAATACAAGAAGCAGTAGCAGCAGCCAAACCAGTATTAGCAGTACTAGAAGTATTTGTAAAAGCAGTAGTAGTTTAGTCACCTGTAATAATTGTGTGTTTGTGTGTGTGTGTGTTGTGTGTCCAGGACCTGAGCCTGTTCCATCCGGTCAGCAGCAGCTGCATCGACAGCAGTCCCACAGAGAGGAGAGTCTTCATGAACACCTGTGACCCCCAGTCCCAGAGCCAGCACTGGGTCTTTGAGCGGACTAACGCCACAGTCCTGGACCACTTCAACAGAGACGACCCCCACTGACCACCCCCCAGGACCGACACGCAACTGCAACGCACACAGGCAGCCCTCAGACAGCGCCTACTACTGGTGAGGGCCGGTAGTTCACAGGACTACACACATGACTATAAAGAGGATGTGTGTGTATAGTGAGCCCCTGGTCACTCCAAGATGTCTGTCTCTGGTACAAAGAAAGAGAGATCCGAGAGAGACCAGACAGAGAGATGAGAGAGAAAGAGCAGAGAGAGACCAGAAAGAAAGCCGAGAGAGAGACCAGACACAAGACTGACAAATGAGCGTTTTGACCTGTCAGAGCACCATCGATCAGTGCGGAGTTAGAGCAAACCCAGTTTGTTGCACTAAAGTGTGGATTTATAAAACACTGAGGGGTTTGAAAAGAAAAAGATAAAAGTTCAGGATGACAAGAGACACTGAATTGTTCTCAAAGTCCTCCTTTGTGAAAGCTGTAGTTCCCTGTCTCTGAGGACGAGCTGTTTCACACTGAAAGATCACTGAGTTCTCTGGGGAAATCTCCTTACAGCCCAAGTGGATTGAGGCTGCAGTACTGCGGGTGGCCTCTAGTCCATATGGATTGAGGCTGCAGTACCGCGGGTGGCCTCTAGTCTATTTGGAAACAGTTTTAAGCAGAGACACCCTCCACATTCAGTTCATCCAAAAAACATGACATCACTTCTCACTTCTGGGATCAACGCAGACAAACATTAACAGTTCAACTTTACTTTTGCTTTGACTTTGTGTCAGAGTCTGTTGTTAGCTTGCCTAAAACGAGTGTTGAAAATTAGCACCTGTGCTATAACATTCACAGCAAAGCATCTGGTTCGTCCAATGTTATTGTTATGTCCATATTAAATAAATTAAACATAACCAGAGTCTCTGATTAAAGTTGGTAACATTTGCGTCTTCATGTTTTACAGATGAACGGAGGAATTCAACAACACTACAACCAGAACCAAACTGGACAGTGGTCACTCAACCTAAGGTGTGTGTGTGTGTGTGCGTTTGTGTGTGTGTGTGTGTTTGTGTGTAGGTGTGTGTACGTGTGTGTACCGTGTGTGTGTGGGTGTGTACGTGTGTGCGTGTACACGTGTGTACGTGTGTGAGTGTTTGTGTGCGTGAGTTGAAAAGTTTTTCAATTCTCGAGTGCACAGTGAACACGGCGCACCTTTATCTCATTGGCTGCGTTCTCTTTTTTGATTTCTAGATCATTAGGTGCGGCAGACATCATTATAGTGAACACGTCTAACAGGGAATTTACACAGTAGGCGTAAACAGCGCGTACGCGTTTACTGCGCGCTCTCTGCGCCTAACATTTTTTTGGAGTATCTACATAGGCCGTGCGCGCAGGTCCGCAGCTTCTGATGCTCTCCCTGTGTAGCCTGTGGAGCAGTGCAGAGGACAGTACGGGCCAGAGGACTGACGTAGAGCAACACAAATCACATGCATGTGTTTGTCCTCATGGTCTCTGTGCGCTGGTTTGGCCAGACGCGAGACTTTATGAAAGAAAAAAAAACAATGTCCAGAATCACTGTAAAACCTGCTGTTCCTCCTGCTGATGTTTAGACACAAGTGCAGTGTGTGTGCAGATGTGATCTAAAGCCAAGGACCGCTAGAAAAATCATGTTTTACATGAGATTTCAATGGGAGACGCGTTGGTGCGCGCACAAAATTAGAAATCCATCCTAAATTAGAGCGCAGCTTCGCGTCATACGTCCGTCATACGCGCGTATAACGCTAGAAGTGTAAATATCATCATGGGTTAACATGGAAAAAAGTTACGCGCGTCTGCTGCGCGTATAACGCGTACGTGCTGTTACGCCTCATGTGTAAATTAGCAGTAAGATAAATCTTTAGAGTGGTGACTGATTAAGTTCTAGCCGTCCAAGTGAAAGGGTTAAGGTTAGGATTAAGGGTGGGTGGGGGTTATTCTATGGGAGTGGCTGGTTAAATTTAGGTATTGGTTTTATTAGATCGTATTTCTTCCGTCCAAATGTTTTGCGCCATATTGGGTTGTTACTTCCACTTCCGTCCCGATTCCATATATGATCTAGTGCCGACCGCTTCGTAGTGGCAAAGGAGATGGCTAAAGCTAGGCTAAATGCTAAAGCAAGGCTAAATGCTACATGCCTCACTCACTCGGGTTCATTACATCCGTCACAGTAAACTCAGATCCAATCGTTTCAATCTGCAAAAGGAGTTAACCCCTCCCACCTGTTAACGGAGTCAATAGAGCAAATCCAGACTTTGGTACCAAATGTGTTTCTGGTTGTTGACGGATGGTCTCTGTGTGTTGTTTGTCCAGGTGGGACTGACGCAGCATGGCACGGCGCTTCTCACATTTACGGATTCTACTTTTCACGGAGCGATTGTGAAGTGGACTCGGATCTGCCTTTTACCTCCTGTTCTGGGACCTGCTGCTGTTTTCTGCACTCGTGGACTTTCTGACGAACACGTGGAGAAGAAATGCAAAAACCAAACAGGGACACATCAGATAGAATGTCTATTTTTGGATGTTTTTATAATGTATTTTGATACGTTTTAATAAAGACTAAAAGCTGCTGTCTTCCTCACTGTCTCCATGACGACGCTAAAGTTCACACAAGTCGTAGAATAGCTTTTACTGGAGATTAGTGTGACCAAACTTGCATACCATCAAACATCTGAAGCTAAGCAGGGAAGGGCCTGGTAAGTACTGTTATGGGAGACTTCTGAGAACTCCAGGAGCAACAGTGTGTGTGTGTGTGAATGGCTGGTGGAGGGGCCGATGGCACAGACGGGTTGCCTCGCTACTGTCAGTGTGCCCCAGGGCAGTTGTGGCTTGTAGTTTATCACCACTGTGTATGGAGTGAAAGAATAATGACATGTGAAGCGTCTGCTACTTTGCTTGGAACTGGGGTATCTCACTTGGTTTTAGGCACTTTTACCATCAAACTGCATTAAGACCTATTATAAAAAATAAAATAAAAAAAGGGTTTAAAAACAAATAAAAAAACAAATGATTGCGCTATTAGTGTCCGACATCTTAGAAAATCCCGAAGAGAAAACATTAAATTGCTTTCTTCAAGGAAATGTTTGTTTTGGAGGATTCTCACATTCTGTAGATGTTCCTGAAGGGAGCAGAAGTTTACATACGCTTTAGCAAAAATACTTTTTCACAGACCCTGACCGAGCGGATGGGGCTGAGTGGGTGTGTGTTTTGTTCTGCTTTTTCAGCTCTGCACAAATGTTGAATGGGAGTGAGGTCAGGGCTGAGGTCGGCTGCTGCTGGACCTTGTGCCCTTGAGATAAGTCTGCGCATTTTCAGGGTCAATGTATTTGGGACGCCCACCTCCATTCAAGCATCAACTCCCTTTTACTCGATGCCATGGAGTGCACCCGGTAAAGAGAAAAAGTATTACTAATGCTTAAAGTAGCAATATGTAAGATTTTCATCATTAAAGGGCCCTAATCTGTCCAAAGGCATTAATAAAACACGCTCTTTTCCAATACTTCTTTAACTTCTTTAACAGTAGTTCAGAGATATTTGTGTTTTTAAAAATTTGTTTTACAGCCCCAAGATCTTGTTATTGTTTTCATTTCGATGTCTCGCCCTCCACCGTTTCACCAATCAGAAAGTCCGTGATCCGGGCACCAGAACTCACCGCGGGGAGCTAATCTCACTGGTAAAGTACCATGTCGCAACAGAACTAAAAAAGGTCTAGTTATGATTCTCAAATCATTAACGACAAAACAAGAAATAAAACCAGTGAAAAAGGTGTTGGTTATAGATTTGTTGTTGACAAAACTCTTGTCTATTCAGCTGTTATGGTCCCAGCTGGATTCGTCTGCATATCTGGCAACCTGAGTCAGGGACTCTGCCACTTATGGCCAGATTTATACATACGGCCTCTTTAACTATAGTTTACGTACTTAGTTCCCAGTCAATGTTTACTTCCATAGTCTTTGGGCTCTGGGGACTAATAAAGGTTTATCTTATCTTATCTTATGCAGGAGGGTCTAAGGACAGTGATTTTTGGCGTTTATTAACATTTCTGGACAGTGGTCATTCCGCTTCTTTTGGACCCATGGTTTTTTTTTTTGACTGCATTTCCTGTGTTCAAACTGTTTTATTCTCTGATCTGTGGTTGAGGAATCCACAACTTTGTAAAGTCCTCCAAGACGACTGCTGTTGTGATTCTGGGCGATACACAAATGTATTGAATAGAATGTACAGACAGTGCCAGTAGTTGGATGAATACGACCTTTTTATAATTACATCCTGATCAGTCTGAGATTATTTGGATTGCACACCAAGAGAGAAAGCTAAACTTATTAGTCTCACAGTGGAGAAATGTCAGTGTCATCGTTGCACATTACAGCAGAGAAAGGAAATAAGAGCACTCAAATTGCACACATCAAATTGAGTCTATTATTTAAGATAATAGACAATAAAATTAAAATACAAATAACATAAAATGAGATAAACTCTGGGCTATAAATGCACTTGGTTCGGAAGTATTTACAGATGTCTATATTATATATTAGCAGCGGAGAAAATGAGAATATGAATATGAGCAGAATAAACATCAGAAATAATATCCACAGGTAAAGTGACGGTGAAAGGCAGAATTATCAGATATGTAATAATACAGTAAGATATCAACAGGTAAAGTGACTGGTGACAAAGTTACTAGTGAATTATCAGTGACACTTGTGCAGACTCAGCAGTTCCTGTTACATATTCTCGTTGTACAGTCTGACAGCAGCAGGAAGGAAAGACCTGCGAAACCTCTCCTTCACACAGCATCAGACACAAACAAGAACAGTGTGAAAAAGTGAGAAACCTCGAGGAGATCAGGCTGCTCCAGGACTGAGGCTGCGGATCCAGGACTGAGGCTGTAGACCCAGGACTGAGGCTGTAGATCCAGGACTGAGGTTGTAGATCCAGGACTGAGGCTATAGATCCAGGACTGAGGCTGTAGATCCAGGACTGAGGCTGTAGACCCAGGACTGAGGCTGCAGATCCAGGACTGAGACTGTAGATCTAGGACTGAGGCTGTAGATCCAGGACTGAGGCTGTGGATCCAGGACTGAGGCTATAGATCCAGGACTGAGGCTGTAGACCCAGGACTGAGGCTGTAGATCTAGGACTGAGGCTGTAGATCCAGGACTGAGGCTGTAGATCCAGGACTGAGGCTGTAGACCCAGGACTGAGGCTGTAGACCCAGGACTGAGGCTGTAGACCCAGGACTGAGGCTGTAGATTCAGGAGTTAGGTTTTGCGGTACAGGACTGAAGAGGCAGCCGCGACCAGTCCACAGGTGCAGATCAAATAAGCCGGTTCAGGGGTCCCATCATCACGCCATGAAACAGACAAAAAGACAGCAGGTGAAAAGAAATGAATAACATTGCATCATCAGTATAACTATGGTTTTATATATTCTATGAGACTAGACCTCAGAGCAGAGAGAACGGTTTGTACCTTGGATCAGAGTGGGTGGAATTAAAGGGGACGTACTCCTTTCCCTCCTCTTTAACATGATCATCTATGACCCCTATCGCTCTAACATGGTTAATATGAAATTTTTAGACTGAATTTAACTATCTTACGAAAGAAATTATTCATGTAGCTCCACCATAAATCATCTTGTACCACAAAAGCCCCGCCCCTTATGTCCATTAACCCCGCCCCTTCTGTCTCTTTTGAGGAAGTGTCATTGAAACCTCAGCACATCACAGATTTGAATAGATAAGATAGAAAATGCCAATTTAAGTAATTAACACCAGGGGGAGGGGCAAGGTGTGGTCGACCGGACTGAGGGGAGAGAAATGGCGTTGAACGTATATGACCATAGAAAAAACAAATAGAAATAACTCCAACATGTATGACTCACACAGAAAAATAAGTTTTGTAAATGACAAGGGAAAACAACTGTAACATGGCCCAACTCTGAGGATAAACCATTTTTATGTTGCGTATCCCTTTAAAGTCAACTCAAAAACCTGAAGTATACGTCTCTGTCGCTCCAGAACATATTGGACAGATTCAGCCCAGAGCGTTCTGCGAGGGGAGCTGCTTGTGCTGAATTACATGAAATCAATGCAGTGGAAACACGATCCATAACATGCCGCCATCAACAATCCACTGGTTCCTTTGTTGTCGGCCTTTTCCAAAGCACTAACTCTCGTCCGCCTGGTGTCTGGGACGTCTTATTGGAAATCCGATAAATCCAGGGTCAAACAAACTCGCGGAGCTTTCGGAAAACAGAAGGGAGTGTCCGCAGAAGTCGGTCCGTCCCGCTTTATTGACACAGTGGGACAGATTCAATACGCCGAGAGGTATGGGCTGCCAAGGTCGCGTCAACTTTTACTGCTGCTGTAGACCCGGGACCAGGACCCAGGTCTCCAAGAAGTCTGACCCAGGTCTCTCCAAGATGTCTGCCCCAGGTCTCCAAGATGTCTGCCCCAGGTCTCCAAGATGTCTGCCCCAGGTCTCCAAGATGTCTGCCTCAGGTCTCCAAGATGTCTGCCTCAGGTCTCCAAGATGTCTGCCTCAGGTCTCCAAGAAGTCTGACCCAGGTCTCCAAGAAGTCTGCCCCAGGTCTCCGAAATGTCAGCCCCAGGTCTCCAAGAAGTCTGACCCAGGTCTCCAAGAAATCTGCCCCAGGTCTCCGAAATGTCTGCCCCAGGTCTCCAAGATGTCTGCCCCAGGTCTCCAAGATGTCTGCCCCAGGTCTCCAAGAAGTCTAACCCAGGCCTCTCTAAGAAGTCTGCCTCAGGTCTCCAAGAAGTCTGCCCCAGGTCTCCAAGATGTCTGCCCATTCAGATCAATGGCCTGTTCTAATTGGTGCATAGTAGTAAGTAAAGTAGATAAAGCATACAGTAGGTCCCTGGAAGAAACATTAGTAGAAGTGACTTGTTCAGGCCAGCGCTGGTTCTCCAGGTCTTATGCAGCGGTTCTATTTCCACACAAGACCAGAGTGGGCAGAGGGACATGTGAGCGTTCTTACCAATGAGAGCACCACAGAGAGAGAGAGAGCAAGAGAGACTAGAAAGAGAGAGAGAGAAACTAGACGGAGACAGAAAGACCAGAGAAAGAGAGAGCAGAGAGAGACAGGAGAGAAAAGACAGACTAGAGAGAAAGACCAGAGAAGGACATATGAGCGTTCTTACCAGTAAGAGCGCCGCAGAAACTAGAGCGAGAAAAACAAGACAGAGAAAACGACCAGAGAAAGAGAGAGACCAGAGCGAGAGAGAGACCAGAGAGAAAAGAGAGACAAGAAAAAGTGAGACCAAAGAAGGACATGTGAGCGTTCTGACAAATCAGAGCGCAGCTGATCTGAGCGGAGCTAGAGCTGGACGAGAGTGAGCGGAGTTGGTTGCACAAAGAAGAAGATTCATAGAAAAAGAAAACAAAAACTTCTGTAGACATTCAGATCTATGGGTAAATCTCCTGGGTTGCCCTGCTCCACCGCCATCGTGCCGGAGACGGGTTTAAGCTAGCACCTACCCAGACGCTATAAAACTTTCCAGTTAGAGGATCACTTATGTTTCTCCTGTGGCGTCTCTGTGTGTTTGTGTTTCCTCTATAACAGAAGACTACGCTGATGAGTCCTGAGCTCCGATTGGACAGTTGTTTTCCGCCTTGATCTGACTGAATGTGATGCCTGGGTGCTGATTGGGTAGAGGCCGAGGCAGTTCTCCAACCGCCCGTGTTCACCTGGAAGACCCGCCCACATCAGCAGCTGTTTGCTGATTAGTATTTTTAGTTTAGTGTATAGTTGTGTAGTTGTTGTGACACCTTACTTTAGTTTGCAACTTTGGTTCTGGGTTTTTTGGTCAATTTCTTACTCAGTTTTATAGGTTATTTATTTACTTTGTGTGCTGTGAATATTGAATCCTATTTTGTTTGCCACTTTTGCTCTGTCACTTAAATAAACTATGATTTTTTGATACCATTTCATTATCTTGGTTTTAGCTGAGCCGGGTCGTAACAGTGGTTAAAACCCGGGGTGTGTTGATGCCCCGTCTGCACCGTGTCTCTCTGAGCCTGATCACAGACTTCTATTTCTGCTTCTCGTTCAATCCGAGGCTGAGATTTTAGCGCTTTGGCGTCGGTCCCGGGTGTTATAATTATCTGTGGAGTCACCCGAGCAGCTCCCACAAACGCACTCATCAAAGCGCTTCCTGTTTCCTGTTTCCAGACACGAGTGCGCGGCGCTGCAGCAAAGGCGGACGGTTATTTTTAGACGTAGCAAAAAGAATAAACACGTCTCTGCGACGAGAGGGAACGCACCGAGAACGGAGAGGAGGCATCTGTATCAGTCCGTTATTTAAAGGAGACATGTTCTGCTAAAATCTGCTTATTTAAGTTTTTAGATCCATCCATGCTAATATCAGGAACTTCTGTCCGAACCATGTATTGCTGCACTTTAGCGCAAAAAGCTCCTGTCTCTTGTTGCGTTCGTGTGATCTCAAAAACTCGGAGGCCTACATTCACAAACATTTGGCCCGTGCTGTTCCTTCGTGACAGACGGAAGATGGTTGGGTCCATCCTGGAGCCTGGAGGGCCCCATGAGACCCCTGCCGAGGGGTCACTGCTGCCTCTGTGCTCCCCTTTCATTTTCTATCGACACATCTATGGATGCAACAATACCAATACTGGTACTGGGTCAATACCATGGGCTTGTACCATAGATCTATTATAATAACTGGATAGGGTATTGCTAGTTTATAGCTGAAGAACCATGTGCTCGGGGGATTCTCGCGGTACTGCAGACTAAACCAGACAGAATAAAACAGCGCAACCTCAGCTGACAGAGAACCTGACAGAGAACCTACAGCTTTAATAAAGATCGGATTTTGTGGGGATTTTAGTGTCCCTTGTCATCCTGAACTTTTTTTCTTCTTAAATCCTTCGGTTTTCTTTAAATCCACACTTTAGTGCCACAAACTCTGCTCGTCTGGCTCTCGCTCTAACTCCCGCTCTGATGAACTGCACTGATTGGTGAGAGCGCGGCCGAGCCCCTCTGTGCATGAGACCCACACGCATATTTGGCGCAACGCATCATGGGAGATAGCGCAAAGCATCATGGGAGATCATCCACTGCGCAGAACTGGGAGGACCAGACGATGCCCAAATACAGGCGAGTTCCGCTAATGTCAGCGATCGTGCCGGCACAAAGCCCCACTGAGCACAAACCATTCATTTGAATACGGCGCCATCTTGGATCGCCGGGCTCGGCTTGTACTTGTACTCATACTCATACCATGGGACCCAAAGCCAGAACTGATACCTACAGTTTTATTTTACATTATCGTCATGACTTTTGAATGCGCTGGAAAACGGCAGCAAGTCCTAAGTAGCACTGAAACAGTTGTTGTTATGTGCTTTACAATTTTTATTGTTATTGTTATATTTTATTGATTTTTTTCTGCCTGAGATGTTGCTGCAGTTGAGTGTGCATGGTTTTGCACTGGTCCAGACCAGAGCATAGAGGATTCATGGTCCAAACCAAGCGTATCAGGTGAAAATCCAATGGAGGAATGCTAACTTCCGAACCAAGCGGCTACTCCACCTTTTGACTTGTCCTGCTCCACCCAGAGGCTACTCCACCGCTGCTGCTGTGACCTGAAGGACTGTTGCTGATTATTACAATTGTTAGCTTTTTAGAATGATCAATTTTATTTTTTTATTTCTGCTTCTACTGGACACATGCATTTCTCCTACAGGGCTCAATAAAGTATATATCTATCTATCTATCTATGACAGCAGTCAGCTGTGCGTCCAGTGTGGCCCATGGGGATCTCCCAAAGACGGCAGCTATAATGCAAGGTAGCGGCACGTAGACAGCAGTAAGTAAACAAGAGTGACGAGTAAAGCGGACTGTACGTTGTGTAAGGAAAAACTGTCACGTGGTGGGTCCAAAACTCGAGCAACTTCATCAAACAACTGAAAACTCACCACCACACTAAGCATAGCATCTTTTAGCACCGGAGCTATTTCTTTGTATCATTTTTAAGACAAGACAAGATGGCGCCGTGCCAGGGCGCCGCTGCAAGAGCTCCGTTGTGCACCGTGATTTTTATGCTGTTTTTATCCTTTCACAAAACACTTGCCACTGTGGTATACGATCGACAGACTCTCCTGGACATACGGGACTTGGCTTGTGAGCCAGTGTTGCCTGCTCTGAGGTGTGATGGCTTTGACGAGTGCCCAGCTCGAGGAGAGCGGCGTGCGGACCGAGAGACGGGGAACAGGGCGATGAGGCCGGGCGCCTCCCCCGTGTTCACCACCGTGCGGAGCCGGGTGTCTCTCGCCGACGGAGGAAGCGCAGACACCGGGGAAAGCGTGGCGGGCTTCTCGTGCGGAGTCGCGCCCCCAGGGTCCCACTGCCACCCATTTACCTTGCGAACGTTCAGTCTCTCCCGAACAAGTCGGATGATCTCCTGAGCCGAATCCAGTACCAGCGCGAGGCTCGGGACTGCGCAGTGTACTGCCTCAGCGAGACGTGGCTGCATCCGAATATCCCGGACTCAGCTGTTCAGCCGCCGGGATTCGCCATTTTCCGCTCGGACAGAGAGAAGGAGAGCACGGGGAAATCGAAAGGTGGAGGTGTGTGTCTTTTAACCCTTTAAGCGCCAAAGTCGCAATATTGCGACAAGCAACATTGCTCACTTAAACAGGCTGTATGTAAAAATGTGGTGCAGAATCTTGTTAATACTTTTCACCAGGGGTTAGTGGACATGTGTGCCTGTAATATGAGCAACATTTGTGGGTGTGGTTATATTGAAAGTTTTTGAGTAAATTGAGTTCGTAAAACACCTGCGGCGCAGCAGCGCGGAGGCGAAGCAGCAGCGGTAGAGCTGAGAGGAGCGAGAGCAGAGCAGAGGGAGAGAGTGTTTTTTCTTTTACTCACAATGTCTTCAGTACCAGAGAAGTACTTGGTCTGGTACTGGCTCACTCAGATTCAGAGGAGGAAGACACACAGGTGTCCAGTGAAGCAGACACGGACATTATTGGTGACGGGGAGACCGCGCCATTTAGTCCAAAATCAGCCCCTGTGCAGCGGCTGCTTGTCCTCCGCGTGGCCGCGGTAGAAGCATTCTGTGAACGCCAAGCAGGGGCCGTGGTGGAGGGGACAGGGGCATCATAACACCGGGCATGTGGGAGAAAGTAGCGGGGGTAGACATCCACGGGGAACACGGGAGACGCGGGAGAAGTCGCAGGGGAGCCGCGGGAATAAAAACACATCGCTTTTCGCGTTCACTGCCTTTACCAACAGTGATGATGAGGATCAAGGCAGTTCTTGAGAGAAAATAATCCACAAAAGTGGATCAGAAGTGTTGAAGAGCCTGTTGTTTCTTGTTGAGATGATCTGACATGTTCTGAGCCCATTCATTTCATCTCTCTGTTTCTAAACCATAAATCCAGGAGCCTCATTTCCACCGAGAAAAATAGTAAGCCCACCACTTCTTTGAAAGGGAAATATTGAAACCAAACTCCAGATTTCATGACTGTAAACTATAAAGAGAGCTGTCTTGATCACTGAAGGTCTTTGAAAATAATACAATTCCGTATGGCCGCGAACCAGTGCTAAAACATTATCTATAATCTGGATCAGGGAATTTATTTCTATCCCAAATTCATTTCATACTAAAGATATTTCACACTGACTGTTTATAGTATTCCCTGATCTAAAAAAAACTCCCAAACTACAGCTTTTTGAAGTTTTTATACAATAATTAAC